TATTCATTCTTTTAAATGTTTTCATATGATCCTGGTTAAATGAGCGCCTGTTTCAGTGTCTCAACGAGGCCCTCTAGTGGTCAGCAGCTACTTCACTCTTCCTGTTAACCTGCTGAGGGGGGGGAAAGTGAGAAAGACGGTTTAGTTACAGCTTCATGAATCACATTTATCCTCCCACTTTCTCAAGTCATTGTCCCTTTTCTCATCATTTTCCTGTGTGATGCTTCAACTGTTTGGCACAGTGATCTGCAACCTTTACAATCCAAAAAGCCATTTTTGCCCTCAGACCAGCTAAATAAAATGGGCTTGGAGCCACAAATATTACCTCATCTTTTGAAAAAATAGCAAAGTTTTTGAGAAATACTTGCCACAGAGAAGCACCAACTTACTCCTATTTTTAGGTTTTAATTAAAAGAAAAACATAAAGCATTTTCAAAAAGATGATGGCTACATTTTCTTATATTGGATGTTATTTGCACATAGTTTTCAACCTAATTATAGCAACAACAACAAAACATCTAAATAAAGATTATGGTAATTTTAAATGTAATTATTCCACAAAAATTACTTAAAGTTGTATTTGTCGCTATATTTCTTTTTAAATTCTAGTTAATCATATTTAGTTCATTTTTAAGAGTCAATGTGGAAGGTCCAGAAATCCACATGGGGCCCTGGAGCCACAGGGTCACAGTCAAGTGTTTAGGAAAACCAAATAAAAAACATCCCAACTTGTTAGGATCTGTTCTACAATTGTTGGCACTTTGTAGCTGAACTATTGTTATATTTCTTCTGTAAGCCTATCTTATCTGCCAACCTCAGGTGCAGCGTCGGCCCAGTCCAGCCGTAAGCCTCTGGCATCAGAACTTCAGCGGAGAAACGCCGATCAGAACCAAGCAGGGTTGGGATCGATGGGTTTGAATGACCTGCAGTCGATGGCCCGGGAGGAGGGAGAAGGCATGGAAACCACGGAGACCGAGAGATTCTCGCCAAAACTCGCAGCCCCGCCTTCCCTGGAGCAGCTGCTCACATCCCCAGACCCCAAACAGGGTGAGCTACAAAAGTACTACAGATTAAATCCAGTAACAAAGGAGCTATTTACAGTGTAATGATTCTCCTTTAACTGTCATGAGGTTTCATGTAGTATAATAGACAAAAAAATAAATAAACAATAAAGTATTTTAATTTAATTTTCATATTTGACTGCTGTTTATTTATTTATACTGTTTAATTTGCTTGTTGCATCTCCAGAGCCGTTTGTTTGGACGTTGGAGCCGAGCAAAGAGGAGCTGAGCGAGAAGCTGAGCACAGCCACGCGCAGCATGGAGCACATGAACGGCCTGCTGCACGAAACCGAGGCCACCAACGCTGTCCTCATGGAGCAGATCACTGTACGTACGAACATCTTATTTAACCTTAACTCTATTTGCACAGCACATTTCAGCAACAAGGAAGATCGAAGTGCTTCCCATAAAATCATAATACAGTAACCAATGATGAAACAAGCAGTCAACATTACATTTAGTCGAACGCAATCTTAAAAATCATCAAGCAGATGTACATAAAATATGTTGATCAATGTTTCACTTACTTCTAATCAAAGGCATTTCTAAACAAGTGCATTTTAGCTTCCATTTAAAAGAACAGTGTTGCAGCATCTTTGCAGTTTTCTGGAAGGTTGCTAAAACATGCCAGCAGTGTCTAAATTTCATTTTGAGTCATATCAAGATCATGAATGTTCTCAAGGCCAGTTTGTGCCAGAATTTATTAATAAAACCCACTAACAAGCTGTTAAATTATGAATAAATTCCTTTCTGCATTCAATAAGAACTTAAAATAATATTGAACGTCTTTCCACATTCATCAGCCCCTCCAGGATTTTGAGGTACTATCTTACAAGTATTTGCAATATTTCCACTTATGACATAAAATGTGACATTTTTATTACTTGACATCAAGTAAGGCTAAATCAGCATTGTCATAAAAGTAAGCAAAACTGCCACCTGCAAGTATGAGTTAGAAGTCACTTATAGCCAAAGTTTATCACCATTTTTGTGGTAAATTAGCAGCGCGAAGATCTGTTGATTTTGCATAAATTTCTGGTATTGTGAGAAACTGTCCAAGTTTTGGCGTACCGTATTTGGCCCGCAGGCCTTGAGTTTGACACATATAGGAGAGTTTTAAATGTTATAATACAAAATGAATCTTTATGAGCCCACATTTTATTTCAAATATTTTATTTAACAGTAAATAAAGAAACCCCAATCTACATCATGTTGCATTAAAATGGTCTGTATGCACCAACGGTGATGTCAAACAGCCTGGCGTTGTTTACAGTCCCATCTTTGTCCAGCAGAAAGTAGAGCCGGTGTCCCTTGATTCTGAGCGGGATGAAAGAGGGGGACTCCTGTCTGTGAGCGTGGCAGGCCACCTGATTTAGTGGGACATTTATGGTCCTGCCTCGGTCTGGTCCCAGAGGAGACTGTGTCCGTACCGTCACCATCCTCCCGCCCTTATGTAGAACCACCTTACTGACGGACCTCCGGCAGAACAGAGCCCCGAGCCCGACTATCCCCGCTCCTATGGTCAGGCATCCCAGGGTAAATCCGTACCTCCAGGCGTTTGAACCAAGGTTCATCTCGAAACTCCACATCCCGGCCAGTCCGGTGGTGGTGGTGGGCGCCTTGGCTCGGTCTTTTCCACCGGTGTCTCTGAGCCCGGTGAAGGCGAACTGAGCCAGGTACGTCCAGAAGACGAACTGGCCGCCGCAGAAGACCGTCAGCACCCGGAAGAAGCGGGTTCTGTCGTGCTCGAACAGGGTGACATCTTTGGCAGGCTGGGTGGAGCTGCAGTAGCCTCGACGGGCTGCTACCTGGCGGGCTGTGGGAGTAAGAATCTCCCCGTTCAGTCCGAACCATGTAAATAATCGCGTGGATTCGCCACTCGACTGGGTCGCATTATGAAAGGCTCGAGCTTTCTGCTGAAAATTACCGAGTCGAAATAGCCTGGAGTATCGCTCCAGAGCTCCGCAAAGTAGGCGTTCATATCCCATTTCTCACCGTAACTTCGTTTATAAGGTTATATGACTCTAAACAACACAGTCCGAAGCGGTAGCTGCTGTTTTAAATCCACTTTTATTTCACTCCAGGCTTCTCTGTCCGTAAGGACGCCGCCATACTTGTTATGTATTCTCTTTGTGAACTCTCGCGAGAATAGTGACGTGTCACTCGCTATCGAGTCAGCTCTGTGCCAATCAGTGTGGAACCGTTTCTTGTCCCCTAAAATGCTTATTTTTAGCACGCTAAGGAGAAAATTATTTGAATTATTGAATTGAATTACAAAATTATTTGTACCGCTTGATCCTTCATTATGTAGCGTCACTTCCAAGTGTACTTTATATGAATTTTGTCTGATGGACCAACATAAAGTGATGCATAATTTTGAAATTAAAGGATGCATCACTGCTTGTAAAACGGTCTCACTTTTGTATTCATTAAAAAAACAAAACAAAAAAAAACAGCAACCTGGGATAACAAGATATATCAGGAAATTAATCATTGGAAGGATGCAAATTATTTGTTGGCCCATTCTTGAATGAGATTTTTTTTCTCTGAAAAAGACTACTTTGCTTTTCATCATCAGAAAGGTACATCCAGTTGCTACTTTGTCTTTGAGATTCTAGTAAATCAGCAGTTTTTAGCTAATAAAAGTCTAGCAAGAAAAAAGTCCATATTTTAGAGAGGAGTGCATCCTATGAGACTCTCACTTGCATTTGGAAATATCATTGTTAGTTTAAAACAAAACAGAAGTCTTAAATCAGGCTCATAGGAATCTATTGCTTCATGTAACTTTTATCGTCCTTCAGCTGTTAAAGAGCGAAGTTAGGCGACTGGAGCGAAACCAGGAGAGAGAGAAGAGCGTGGCCAACCTGGAGTATCTGAAGAACGTCCTGCTGCAGTTCATCTTCCTGCGTTCTGGCAGCGAGAGGCAGGCGCTCCTGCCCGTCATTCACACCATGCTGCAGCTCAGTCCAGAGGAGAAGAGCAAACTGGCTGCAATCGCACAAGGTGCAAGTCTGCATAATTTATCCTGAAATGAAAAAAAGCCTAATCTGTCCACTGTTTATTTTTTCCCTGTAATTTAAGTAATTTATTTATTTAGATTAAGTGAAAACATTTAATAATCCCCAGATATTTGGTGTTTACGCTGGTGTTTTTCCTTTCAGGAGAGGAAGAGGGAAGCGGCTCTCGCGGCTCAGGGTGGACCTCCTACCTCCACAGCTGGTCTGGGATCAGATAGACTAAAAACATGGGGAGCACTTTGCAGTGACATCACTGAACCCATCTCTTTGTGAGGTTCTGTATCAATGATGCTAATTAAAATGGTTTTAACTGGGGCATTAACACGTTACTGGGACAAAACAGGCAAGACCAAAGAATGTATGTGAAATAGTATCTTCTAGGTAGAGATAAAGGAAACTAGAATCTTTATTTACTCTTGCAGAGCATTAGGTATAAACAGTGCTTCTCTGAGATGGACACAGGCTTGTTAAACTGCCTGGTTTTTGTGATGTAAGAAAAATAAAACAAATACATAGTTTCAAATGTTTTCCACATATTATCTAACATTTATGTTAAATTGTAATATAAGAGAATCACTATTAATTATCAGGATATGCACAATAAATAATGTTAGATGTGTACAAGAAGAAAACTAAATGCTAAAATTGAATCAAATTCTGTTTCAACCAAATATTTGTTGAAGGTTATTCTCAGTTATGCAGCAAGGTTATTCTACTCGTTTTATTTTTTCACTATAATAAATTTGTTTGCTTTTCAGAATTTCACAGGATAAATGTGGCACAATATGTGGAAAAAGGAGTATGTAAATTGTTTATGATGGTGTTTACATAACAAAAACTTGGCATTTTACCAGAGTTTGTGTCCAAATTCGGGAACCAAGATTAGTCTTTCACTAAATTACCCGTCATAAATTTCTTAGTTGTATTGATTTGTGTTGAAATAAAATCTGTTGGGCATTTTTCTGCAGACACAAATCACATCAAATGCATCTATTTCAAAATATTTTCTTATTTCTGGGTTAGAAAAAAAACATGTTGCAAACAAATAGTATGATTAGGGATTATTTAAGAAGGTAAATGTAGCCTGGCATAATGTGACTTAAATGTCGGATGTTTAAATCCTTAATTAAAAAAAAAAGATTTGACTCCTCTGCTTATGTACATTGTACTTTACTCACTTTATTAGCGGACAAGTTGTCATAAATCATATTTCTATTGCAGTTTCTTTCAATGACTGTCATCATGTATGTTGACTGTTGAATGTCTTTCTGTATGTTATAGTTTATCACTTTATCATCTAGAAATATGCAACAAAAAGGTGTTAATCTTCACCAAGTTTTAATCTGGTTGCTTATAAAATTAAAAAGCCTTAATCCATATATTGTTGTAAGAAAAAAAGTCAACATTACGGTTCTTTAGGTGCTTTTTTTTCTTACATTAGTCAGTGGGCAAAATGTAGATTAAATCCTTAGTTTAGCTCAGTTAAATCATCATAACAAAGAAATTGATGTTCATAATTATAACTGGTACTTCCTAAACTCAGGTGCAGCAGGTATTTGTGTTTTTCTACTGTAGCATTTGTAACTACTGTTTTCATTTTATCGGTTTAATGACTATACAGCTCTGCTGTGGGGTAGAAGTTTAATTTTCCGTCTCACATACTCAGATTTGCCTCTGCAACATTAATGCATATTGTTTTCTCCTTGTTATTGCTGTAGAAAGTTGCTTGTTTGTCTTTTTTCCACTCCAGTGGCAGCTCTTTTGGGATCAGTCTACCACAACTTGAATGTACTTTTACCTTTTATATTATGTGAAGGTTACTGTTATCAGAAGCTATGAGAGATTATCAGAAAATCTTTTAAGATTTTGTCTGGATGTAAAAGAAAAACGACAGAAAACTGTGATTGTAAACGGATTAAAACCAACCATGATGGGAGAGATCACAGAGTTGATTTGTGTTTATTGATAATCTTAACACACTTTCATCTGTGGAACTTTTTAACATTTCGTCACTTACAACCTCCAACCTTAATGTGTTTTACTATATTTTATAACCAATATAAAAGCATGCAGTGTACAGAACATTTTATTTTCACAATCTGAGAAGTGTTGTAGCTCAACTTTTCACTGAAATTAAATCTGCAGAATTTGTCCACATCTAGAAATCTAAACAGTTGCTCTGTTTACATCCATTTTCAAGTCCTGCCACTGACTTTGAGTTGGATGTGGGTCTGGACATTGATATTTAGTTTAAGAATACCTCTGTCTTGTCTGTAGTTTTCTTTACATATTGTGACAAACAGGACTCTGACTTTTTTTTTAACAATGGTTGTAATCTTTTTCCACAGTGTTTACTAAAACTAGTGTAAACCATATATGTTTTCTTCCACTTCACTAATATGTACTATTTTATGCTAACCTAAAAACAAAATAAAACACATTTAAGTATGTGGTTAAAATGGAAACATTTCAAGGGGGCGTTAATACTTTTATAAGGCTCTGTTGTGTGTACATGGAAGATAAATTTATGTTTCATGTTATGGAGTCATCTTCCACGTTGAAGGAGGGGAAATTTTATATGGGCCTGCCTTTTAAGGAAATAAATGTGGTTCTGGAATTATGACGTAGTCCGGGGAGGAAATGACAAATAATCGCCACTGAATACCGCTGGACGTGAAACTAAACATTCCGTTTTTGTCTTTAGAGAGCTGTAGTAGGGTATTTATCGTCAACTTTTTATATCCTTACATTTTAAGACATGCATGAAGTTTTTCTTTACATGCATATGTATTAATGTGTTTAAAAATAAATGGAAAGAATGTTTCTGCAAGGCGCACACCCGCCATATTGAAATTCTGTACAGATTTCCAACGCTAAAAAAAAAGGGAAAAAAGTCAGATTTTTCGGTTTTCTTGCAAAGCAGAAGTGTAAAAACAGAGAAAGTAAAGCAGTGGATAACAACAACAACATGTCAGCGGAGCTGCCGATATGTTCACACACACAACCAGATCTTGTAATTACTTTTGGCAGGTGGGAATTACAGTTTCCTGCCAGTAAATATCTCAAAAGTAAGTCAGTCGAAAAGCTCAGTGAAGTTTTAAAGCTGCTCCAGACGCGCAGAAAAAAAATAAACCCGACTTCCTCTGATTTTCAAAATAAAATGAATAAAGCCTAGATGGTAGACGGGAGAAAGTCAATCCAATCCATTCAGCGCTGTATTGGTTTGAATTATCTCTCTCTTTTTTTTCTAAATTGCTTCACTGTTACAGTTTCATTTTAAGTATTGAAATTCGACGGGTTATTAGAGCCATTAGATAAAAAAGAAGCAAATTTATGCCAAAAAAGAGATTTTGAGAATATCAGAAATTTTGTAGAAAAAAAAACTAATTCATGGATTTCAAAGTTGAAAATGTTGTTCTTTTGAAACTCAGTAATTTTCAAGTTTTTTCTAGAGAATTTATGAGCTAACTCTTAAAATGTTAGTTTTTTTCTGAAAAATTTCTGACATTAATCTAAAAATTTCTGAGTTTTTTTGGCAGGAATTTATTCCTGTTTTTTAAATCTATAATTGCCCTAACGTGGTGCTATATTAAAATCCAACAGTTTTTGTAGTAAAACTTATTGCGTGAGGATTCATTTGGATTATTGAACAGCATGGTCTCACAGTTTCATAGTTCACTTATTGTCCAAAGAGAGCAATAACCATTATTATTGTCAGTGCCTTAATAGCTATAATATCTAAAAGTAAATAAATCAACTAAATAAACTATGTCGCTTGTTGATTCATATGGACATTTTGTTTTTCATATGCTCAATTTGACTTGGTCCTTGCCCTCAAATTGACCGCGTCAGAGAAGGGACCAACACTGCATAGTTATGCTTTTATTTTGAAGGTCATCCAAGCGGAAGTACAGTCCGCCGTGTCTTGTGGTTGGTGGAGATAGGCGGGGCCCGTCCTAATTATACGCCATTCTGTGCCTGAGAGAAAAAGCAGCTCTAACTGTACAGTAAATACAAGAGAGGAGCACATCTGGACGTCTGCTGCTGAGGCCGAAAAAAACACATCTGGTCCGAGAGAGCGAGGAGGAGCGATGCTCGGACTCACGGAGATGACTAACGGGTAAGTTAGCTGCTTAGCTTTTTTATCTTCATTATTATTTTTGCTCCGAAAAAGTTGAGAAGTTAACATCTTTTACGCTGAACTGAAAGAAACTGTCTTCCAGTAGTTGTCTGTTTATCACAAACCAGCAATGGATTTGTATCCATGCTAAAACTAAACGTAGGTGTTCGGTAGAAAAATGTTTAATCACAGAGTTTTAGCTAAGCTCTCATTAATTTATCTTCAATCTGAACTTGATCTTGGCGCCCCCTACCGTTACAATGGGGGAACAGCGACTTTATGCGGGTTAAGAAGTGATAAATCTTAAAACCTATTGATCGAGAACTAATGAAATTAAAAACAACTACCACTTTGCAAACATCAGCTATTAAATATTAACGTGAAAAACTGTGAAAATATGTTAGTCTCAAATAAGAGGCATTTATTTTATGTGAAAAAACCTAAAATAAACATTTAAATAAGGATAATCACGATCTAGGTTGACAAAAATACGAGACTTAAAATTATGAACATGCAAGCATATGAAATAAGTTTTAGTTTATGCTAATTAAAGCTGAAAAACGTCATATTTGTATGGAGTGCAGCTAAAATTAAATGTGATGCTTGAAACAGAATTTTACATTATTGTTAATGTTGTTTTTTTAGTATTATTTGAATGAATAATCAAAAAGTAATTCCCTTCAAGATCTCATACAATCTTAGCTATTTCTGTATGTGCTTGAAAACATAAACAAAGGCTTAATAATTTGCTTAAAAAATCCAGAGGAAGATAAATCTCTGATTATGTCTAAAATTGCAACACAAATAATAAGCCTGCTGCTTTCCTCTTTTAAATGTGACACTGTTTGGTGTTGTGATGCACATCTGGAGGGCTGGTGATGTGATGGAAGTATCAAGGATATAGTCTTTGACCTTATAACTTGCAGTATTCTACATAATGCTTATGGAAAAGTGTCATTTTTTTCATGCTGAGCTGCACTCCCAGACCAAAACAAAGGAGTGAATCTGTTCGTTTTCTTTTAAAAACCATCAGATCCTTCTCCTCCCTGCTGAGGAATGTCCTCTAAAAAGCAACTGGACAGTAGTCCTTGTTTTCCAAACCACTTCCTGACAGTCCGGTCTCCTGGGACGGTCACTCAAAACACCCGTTTTCCTTTTTTCATCATTGTGAATTTCTCTCTGTCAGAATTAGCTGGAGCTCTCTCTGAAGGCAAGTCTGTATAAGCCTAAAGATTGCTGCATTAATCTGATCCAGCGCTGTGTTGATACAACCCCAGCTTAGGCTGAAGTCTGGGCCTCCAGCACAGACTTGTCCTTGTTTGGAAGTTCAGAGATGAGGGGATTTGAGCGTCGAGCGCCAACACCATCACACAGACGTCGAGTGAATGGTTGCCTTTATCATCTGGAAGAAAAATTAATGTGGTGATTAAGCTTTTACTGTAAAACTCAGCTCACTACTTTTTATAGACTGAGTCAGCATGTCAGCTTTTATGTTACTTTACTGTAATAATTATGAAGAAAAAATGTTTTAAGACTTTAAACGATCTTCAGAAACCACAAAAATAATAATCGCAGTATCAGTTTGCATCAGAAACATTGACATCTAAATTAAATTTAACTGTTACAAATAAAATGGATCCATAAGTACTGTAGGACAATATACTTTTTCAGCAGGAGATTGTCCTAATAGCAAAAACACCTAAGTATCTTCACCTTCAGATTAAACATTTTGATATTATTCTAGAAAATAATAAAATGAAATGACCTGGAGATGTTGAAACTGAGTTTAGTGTTCTTGAAAAACCAAATAGATACTTAATCATTCACAGCTCCATCAACTAAAAGTAAAACATCAATATCAATTTATTTAGATTATTTATTTTTATTTAATTTCCCTTTGGGATTAATAAAGTATTTTTCAATTTGAATTTGAATGTAAATATTAACTGTGCTTACACCGCACCACCCACAGGGGGCGCCCGTTCTCATTAAATGCAGGCGAGACAGAGAAAAGATAGAAAACCCTTTAATCTGGAGTCACGCTGTGGGATTATCAGGTATTGATGGAAAAATCTTTAATTTTGAGAGAAAAATATCTCAAAATGAACTTAAATAATTTTTCTGTGATCCACAAACAAAGTTTTCTTCCTCCTGCTCTCCCTCTTTTCATCGTCTGACCTTAATATTTAATATCTACAACATATAAAACAGTCTAGTATCTGTTATTATGTAGTACAGGGCTGCAATAATGACTGATTAAATCTGATTATTGAAATAATCATAAACTAATTTAGTAATCAATCATTTACTGGAGTCAAAATAGGCAATTTTGCTGAA